ACACATCTCGAAACCTCCCCGCCGACCCGCCACAACTTTGCGAAGCATTCTCGCGGACAGCCCCTCACGATGTTCTTATCAGCATCAAATGACAAAGCATTGGGCATCAACACCCAAAGGCGAACGAACAAGAAGCGCGTCACCACGAAGGACACCCGAACCTGCGGCTGGTTGTACCACATATCAACAAAGCCATACATCCACAACTGTACCAGGCTCTCATCCCCGCTTTGGCAGTCAATCTGATGAACGTCGAAAGCTCACGACATCGGCCGGAGCTGGAAGCGGTGCTGATAACAAAGCAACACCAACAACCTCGCCCAATTCATCCGACTCAGCCACCAGCGGATGCAGAGGAGGCGTCCCGATCCAGAGTCCCTCGCCCGCCACACGTGCTGCAAAGCCGTTGCCATTGTGCGCCAAGAATAGGACTCAGATCGGATATAGCAATCCTCTCAATGCTCAGAAGCCGACGAGAATAGCGTTGCCCGAGACAGGAGCAGATGCCTCATCGACCTCCTCGACGCCAGGAGGCGGGGCCGCTCTGCCTGCAAGCGAGACTCACAGCCACGACCCTCTCACACCGATGAACGATCTCGAGGCCGCGGTGGCAAGATGCTTCAATGACCATTCACCTACGGCTTCGCGTGAAGAGAGGAGAAAGACATTGCATATTGTGAACGGCGGCGTGCAAATATCCTCTCCGCAATTGGGACGTGGACAACGGCAACAGGATTCACAGCAGCCTTCGCCCGGACGTCCGCCGCTTCATTCCACTCCTCGCGCTCCTCCATCTTCTCCATCGTCGTCTTCTTCGGCGGCATGGACGGGAGATGACGTTTTCCTTCCATCAAGGCTGACAACTGAGCCCAAAATATCTTCGCCATGCCGTTTCCGCGTTCATGAGCAGCAAACGCGTCCCGCCAATCCTACCCGGGCAGCTGTCAAGCAGCACCAGCAACTCCCTGCTTCTCTGAGATGTCCGGCCGGAAGCACTTGTTCGCGATCGCCCTTGCCGCCAAGGCAGAGAGCAGATAGCGCTGTACAATTTGTCGGAATGAGAGCGAAATTGAGACTCGAAGGCGTGACAGTAAAGCAAGGTGAGACCCAGTGTACTTGCTCGTCTGCGGACGTTGGATCCTTTGAGGGCACACAAACTGATGTGAACGGATAGATCCAGTCCATGGGATTCCGAAGCGGCCTGCGAGCGATGCCGATGATGAGGATGAAGGGTCTGACGGGGAGTCGAGTGGGACTTCTTCCGCTTCATCTTCTTGTTGAAAGAGTTAAGCGATGTTGGATTTGTGTTGAATAATCCACCTGCCGTGCTTGATATTGCTCCGCGAGTATGGAGTTGGTTGGATAGCGTATCGGCAATGATATAGCGCAGAGGTTCGAGACATGCTCAAGTTATCTTGATTTCCTCATGCAAGGCCATCTCCGCCGATACTACTGCCATCACCTTGTGCTCGTTTTGATGAAATCGCTGACATCTTCTTGCCATCCATTCACCTTCGACAGAGACAAACGCCCAGTTTCTTTTCATTCGTCGTCATTCATCAGAGGCGTACTCTTACTTGCATTCCATTTTGTGCCATAGACTCATTCGCATGTCTGAGAAGCACTTTCACGGCGCCTTCTCTTCACCCTTCTCTCCATTTAGAATACTCGTACTATCAAAGCTCAGCTTCCTTTTGATGCAATCCGGGTTCCCGCCCTCTCCTTTGTCAGCCATAATAGCATCCATCTCAGCCCGTAGCATCTCCATCTGCCCCAAGTCCAGTTGCTCAATGTCTATTCGTACTGTCGTCTCGGCTTTGACACTCATTGGCCGATGTTGATCCCCTGAACCCTTCTCCAGCAGACCTCCATAGTCAGGAATTTCATCAAAGGCAGCTCTGGGTGGTCGAAATTTGTTTCTTGACTTTTTCGTGGCCTCGATGGTGGTTGAAGTGCCGAACATGCGGTCGGCGCGCCAGTTGGAGGAGGTAGAAGCGGGAAATGTGTCGAGTGCTCGGACGCGGTCATTTGCGATTTCAGATCCGAAGATGACGTTGTGGCGGGTGAGGCTGTAGAGAAGCGTGTCGAGCCAACCACAACTTGTGATCATTGCTGCTGCGACGCAGAATTCGGTGTAGCTGACGTAAACTCCGGCCATGGTCTTGAGTCGCGCGATGACGAGGGGTAGAGTGCAGACGACGTAAATGGTCGGGTAAGCGATAATGAGTTTCGCCGCGGATTGAGCTCGTTGTTGAACGGTCGAGGTGATATAGTATGAGCTCTTCACGCGAAAGCAGAGGATGATGAAGATGAGCAGGTAGATGACCACGGTAAGGAACTCGGCCATGATGATCCATAGATAGTGCAGCCAGAAGCGTTCGTTGAGGTATCGGAAGCTGATCCAGCACCAGGCTCCCGCTCGCGTATACAGATCCTTAGGGTGCAGTGCGAGGCCGATTCCAGCGCAAGCGTAGTTGAAAGTCCAGAGGGCCACCAGGATCAACCTGAAGGCCTGTTTTGACACTCGGTAGTCGAAAACGATATCGGCGAGGGAGTGCACCGCAATGGCAAGAGTGAAGATGCCGCTCGATAGATCGCCTGTGCTTACGAACCAGCCTTGAGCCCAGCATTCGGGGCTTCCGCTCACTATGCTGCGTAAGGTGACCCATCGAATATTCATCATGAATGCGACGGATTGCTGAATGTCGGCGAGAATCAAGTTGAATATCAGCACGACGAACTGATTCGCTCGGACTTGAGGACCTTTGCTCCAGAAGAAGAATCGGTAGAGGAAATGGAAGCAGAGTGCCGCCGAGCAGACGAGCGACAAGATGCCCAGGCACGACACTGCGATAAGTCCATTCTGTAGATTCGATGGCAGGTGGTCGAGTGTTGTCGGCGACTTTATCATGCCATGGGGCGGAGAGGAACTGATGCCATCGTCCATCGCGATCGCATCCTTCACCCACAGAGCCCCATACGATCAGTAGACTGAAGCGAGAAATCCTGGCGCAGGGTTGGCGCGGCGGCGGGTCAGTCGAGAAGAAGCAGCATCGAGGCTAAGTTCTTCTGGTTTCCAGGGGCAAAGAGGGCCTACGGTGTGACCATATAGGCGACAACTTCGACTAGAGACGACTGCACAAAGTCCAATCAGGGCTTGCTAGAGATGTGAGAGCCGCGTTTTCCGCTCAACGAACCGAGGGAAAGCAGAGGCGGCAACGAGTGTACCAGCTTTGCAGGCGCTTGTCGGGCTGGGGCGCACACATGGACAAGTGTGCAAGGTTAAGTCCTGCATACTGGAGAGTTCCAGGTGCCAGGTCGAGCGACGAGGGCTGTTATCTATACTTCATTAGGCAATTGGCGGCTGACCACGGCGAAGACGGTGACCAGTGAAGACGGAGCAGTGTCAAAAGCGATGTGTTGCCGGTGTTCTGGAGTTCCTGCCGACAGTGGCATCCTGGAAAGACAGCATGTTGCGGAACTGGCCGTCGGCGGCCTTTGGCGTAAGGCGTGTGAGAGAGGATTGCTGAACTGACGACAGCAAGAGATTCCCTCGGCTGATCGGAGCACAGGATGCGATCTCACGCGACGTGGCCTGCGAGTGTCAAAGCGGACGAGGTGAGGTGGAGGAATTTCGGCGGGAGGTTTTGGGTTCTTGTTTGGCTTTCGGGGTTTGCACTGCGCCTGCTGCTTCTCACATTGCGGATCGGAAGGTTCCTGCACAGAAAAGTATGTACCTGAGATCAGATGGCGTGCAGTCAGTCACGACTTCCTTCGTAACGCCTTCGAGATCTTTCCAGGCATTCAAGATCTAGGCTCAGATATTGCTGCATTCGGACGATGCCTTCGAGCTAAGTTTCTCTCGAAGCTTTTCTCCAGACCGTACGGCACCGTACGGTCGCCAAGACATCATGTGCTATCCATCTCTTTGACCACAAGAGCAAGCACTGTCAACATCGGCGACTCGCTCAATTCAGGTGAGTAAACAGAATGTACATTGTACATACACTGACAAGGTCATTCTTTCACTCCATAGCCACAAGGCTAGTGCATCCCTCAGCCGATCCGAACCCATCGCCCCAACAGACAAGCTTCTACTATTCACGGCCCAAGGCACGAGAATGCAGTAAGCTGACGGCTATGACCCCTACGGACAGGATCGACCTTCTCGAAACTGGCCATGCTGCCGCCAAGACACATCTATCGAACTTTCCTCGCATGTTCGATCAACGCGGCCCCTTCCGGCGATCACGACATGTTCTCACTAACTCCAAAACTTCGCGACAACTTCTCTCACATCCTCTACAATGGCCTGCGGAGCCTCTAGACAGGCAAAGTGCCCGGCATCGTCTCGTTCTTTGTACCACACAAGGTTCCCCGTACCTCCCGCGGCTCGCTTGCTGTTCGGAGAAGTGTCGTACCCCATGCTCGTGTAGCCAAATGGACATTTGATTGCGTTCTCCGGAGCGCCGCAATAGGCTGCGAACTGGTCGTGTCTGGGGTTTTCGTAATACAGCAGCGCACTGGTACCGATGCAGCGGGTGTGGAAGTACAGGCACACCGTTGTGAGGACATGGTCCATCCAATGGGGAGTGTAATGTACTGCCGGATTCGAGGCCTCTTCGTACTACACCGTTCATCAGCCAGGCTTTTTGAAAGTCCGAGATCTCGCACGACTTCACGCTCCGATCACACTCACCTTTTCTCCTATGAAAGTCATCAAGCCGACGGGATTATCTTCCAACATCCAGCTCAGACTTTGCGGCCGCGTCCGCATTAGAACCGCGTATCCACTAGAAGACACATTAGCCCCTATTTCCCATCAACATCAAGGAAAGAAGCACAACAAAACTCACACATGCTCCGTCCTCCAATTCCCCTTCCTCTCCTCACACCAACTCTCCCTCTCCGTAACATCCTGCACTCCCTCCGGCAGCGCCCCAGGACACCAGTTCAGATGCATCACCTTACACCTCTCCGCATACTTGGCTCCCAATTCCCTTGCCACCATAGCTCCCCAATCTCCCGCTTGCACGACATACTCCTTATACCCCAAACTCTGCATCAACTGATCCAAAATCCTCGCCGTATCCTTCACCGTCCAACCTTTCCTCGGCGGAGCAGAAGAGAAGCAAAAACCCGGCAAACTAGGAACCACACAATGGAATTTTTGCCCTTCACCTTCCGCCAATGGTTTTATAACTTCAGAAAACTCATAAAAACTTCCCGGCCAGCCATGAATTAACAAGATCGCTTTCGCATTCTCATCTGATTTGGATTTCTGATGCACGAAATGTAAATTTACTTGTTCGATTTCTGTGGTGAAATGTTCGAATTGGTTGATGCGGCCTTCGGCTGCGGACCAGGAATAGGTGTTTTGCCAGTAATTGAAGAGTTCGGTGGCCCATTTGTGGGGGACGCCGTAGGCTTTGTTGGCGGAGGGGAGGATTTCTTGGGTGGGGACGCGGATGTCTTTGAGTTTGGAGTGGAGGCGTTCGGTGGAGCGGATGTCGATGTGGGGGCGGAAGGGGGTGATGGACATGGTGGGTGGTGGTGGAGGTGGTGGGAAGTAACTGGATTGGTGTGTATGGGGTTGGGTATGGCGATATGTGTTTGAATTTGTCTAGTTCGAGAGAGTCCTGCGGGACTGCAAGTGGTTTGGTTCTTGAAGAGATCTTGAGCTTCTAACGTCACGCGTGAAGATAGCGTAGTGTTCTTGAAGTGTCCAGCTAAGATCAATGTGATGATCCTTTGATCAAGCAATGTTGTCGCATTGAAACTGGTATAACAGAGCAGACGTGAAGATGGAGCTCACCAGCTCTCGTGGCATGACAGAGCTTCTCCATTTGTTGGAGTTGAAAGTCACTTTGGGAGCTTGGGCCACCTCGGCTGCTGTACACGGCCAATGTCTATGGCTTGGCAATACATACATGTATGCTGTATAAATCGAAGTGGATGTGCTATGATGGTGGAGTATGCATGATGGGGCAAAGTTCACGGATGAGTCGGAGTTGATTGCCATCTCTTTCTCACACGAGATAGATTTCGCGAGAGTATCTCGCCAATGTGGTCAGCCTGGAGTAGTCCATGTAAGACTTCCGCTTGAGAGGTCTCGAATGAGGTTCTAGGAAACGATTCAGATCAGATCACCATGAAAAAGTGGCGATGTGGAACCTGTTACCCGATCATGAAAACGCCCCCGCTTCCAGAAGAGAGCGACCTTGGGGTTGTTGGATGATGCGGACTCTTTCGCGATTTGGCGATCGATGATGGATGCTATGAGTGCCTTGCATGCCGGTGCTAACAAAGAAGGGAACGCCAAAGTGGACAGGTCCAGAGGTGACCGCAAACGCGTGCTGGTTTCCGCAAGACTTGGGTCAATCTCTTCTTTGGCACGAACAGAGGTCGAGCATGCCAGATACCCAGAATGGTAACAGATGTAGGGAATCTTGGCGCGCACCTACCATGTGATGAGCATACTGAGATTTTATGAAATTGTATGCGCTCAGCTGTGCCCATGCATATCATTCAAGACGTTGTTTGAGTGGCGCTTCACGTGGCACCGAGACCGTTTGAGCGGCGCAGTCCTCGGGCCCCTCGATGACGAACGGTGTAGCAGCGAGGTTTCAGTATACACGAGACTGCCGGCTCATCTCGGGCGGTGCGCGAGGGAGTTGTCGAGACACAGCGCTGGTTGTTGTGGGAATCCGCACAGCGACTGAAAATTCTGCGCGTCGTGCAGGCATGAAGCTGTTGTGTTGCGCCGCAGAGCTGCACATCCTTTCCTGTTCCTGAACGGCATTTGAAGAAAGTTGGCCGGAGCCGTTGCGTGGTGGTGGGACTGAGTTTGGCCTCCGAAAAGGTTGTCGCCAGTCGCGTGCTTGGGCGACGCGACGTTGATCCGATGTGCCACGAGGGCGGGAACGTGTTGGAGGTTCAGCCGTGGCATCGGTGCGTGTATGGGCGCTGCGGCGTCGTGGTGGTGGATGTGCGATACGGTGTGTGTTGGTGATATCGTGCGACGAGGCAAGGCGTTCGCACATTGCTGCAGCACGCATGTCGTACAGCTGTCAAAGCAAGACACCTGCAACGCTCTCGCATCCGAGACTTTCGAGGAGAATAATGGCTGCTGGGTGGAGGTCTCTCTCCACACAACCTCGTCGCGCCACCCTCCTCGAGCTCGTCGTAGCTCTCGATCGGGCAAGGGAGCTCTGGGTGCAGTGATTGGACGCGTGCTGGTCAGACCCAACCATCCAAAGCTGCCCGACGAGACATGCGAGGACGATACAAACGCGCCGTGCTCTCCCTCTCCTTGCTCCCCATCATCACCGCCGTTCGTCGCCGCCCAAACATGGCATCGTTTGCGGATGGGCAGCATTCATCTCCGTCGGATGGCCAGGAAGCGCGATCCCACGAGCGAGGCGGTCTCGCCCAACCAGGATCATGCACGCCTCAGATGCGCTGGCAGGCCAAATGGGCGGCGAAGGAAGGGCGCTGAAAGCAAGCCATGCTGCTGTCCAACGTCCTCTCTGCTCCGCCCTTGTGCATGATGATGCGCCATTGATGACCGGCAGCAGCACGAGCATCAGCACCGCACGACGACCGCTCCACGAGGCAAGGCCATGCTTTGCAGTCGCACACGGTCGGAGCAACAACTGCGCGGCGAGGAAACGGGCGGCGAGAATGCTGCAGACGACCGACGACGACGACCTCCTCGACATCCTCTCACCTCTCCTGCACGCACCATCGCCTTCATCCACTGTCGGCCGGCCGTGTTTGATCGACGGCCCGGTGGTTCGGTGCCAGCAGAAAGCGCAGCGCAGCGGCAGCGCGCGAACGAGCATTGAGACAGCGGTCGGCAGCTGGCAGCTGTTGATTCGGCTTCGAAGCGGGCGGCGTCATCGCCATTGACCTCGACTTCAAGTTCAGCTTCATCTCTCCGCGCATCGCACAGCAAACAGCATCGCATACACGGCCATCAGCAGCACGGCTGAAAATAGGCAGGTGAGTTTGGGTCGTTCGTTTCGCTGCCCGTGCGTTTGGGGGCGTTTTGACCAGCCTCGTTTCTTGGTCTCCATCATCACCGTTCCCAGCCTCCTCGGCCTGCACGCGCTATACCCGTCGTCACGTCCCTGCCCCGTCACTTCTCACCACGCTCGCGTCGCGCTCGCTCCCAACTCTCCTTCCCTTGCCAAAGCATGGCTGTGGTCTCACTGTCCCTACCCCCAGCACCCCCCAGCGACTCCGCCCTCCGCCGCTCGTTGCTGTCTTCGTCGTCGTCGTTGTTCTGCATCGCCAGATCTGACCGCGCCGCCGTGTGCTAGCGCATCGCACCACCCCGGTCGACACTACTTCCAGGACAGGCTGGGTCGGGAATTGCCATTGGCACTCCAACTCACTTCACCGCACACAGCATTCGACGCTGCTCGCTCGCCTGCGACGACCTGCGCATACAGGAGCCGTGTCGGCCCTACTCCGCGGCACTTTTAACGACCGCTACGATTCACACGACCGTCACGACCAGCGAGCTGCCGTGTACACGACCTCTTTGCAATCGCGTTTAGAGCACGCTTCTGCTGTTGAACGATTACGATTACACGACCTCTCGCGACCCTCGAGCTCTTCCGGCAGCGTTGGAAGTCACAGTCTCCGCCGCACCGCGCGCTTTGAAGAACCCAGACCTTCTCGCTTGCGATCCACGTCAGTAGACGCTCCCGTCCGGACAGAGCCCTCGCCCACGCGCTTTCGCGAAGAGTCTCCTCCCCCGCGAGCACAGACAACTCCACCAAAGGCGGCGTACCATCGCAGGGCCACCAGTGCGCAGTACAGCACTTCGACAACACACCCGGCACTTCGCATCTCGAAACGAACCCACTCGGCCATCCTTTACGCGCTCGAAGAGGCCATTCGTAAACCGAATCCCTTCACGACAGACGAGGACGAGGAGTACGCTCTAATGTCAGATCTCGGCGGCGGCAGTGCCGGTCGAGCATCCAATGGCGGTGCACGAACAGCAGGGCCAGTACCTGTAGGAGGCGCTGCACAGATACGGACTCCCCGAGATGTCATGAGAGAGCGAAATGCCCGTGAGGCCAGAAGGCAGGAACAGCAGAAAGAAGAAGAGCAAAGGAGAGTGGCAGAGGAGAGGAGAAGGAGTGCAGAGAGGAGAGCGGCCACAGTGCCCGGAGCTGCACCAAGATTCAGCAACACCTCATCACAGTACAGTCCTGATGTTCGCGCTCAGGCTGGCTTTGACGATCCTGCAGCGGAGAGGAGGCAAAGTAGAGTTGCTGGGGAAGTGGCAGGCACGAGCATGCTGGGCGAACCGACTGGTAGAGTCAGTCAGGATCCACCCAGCAGAGATCGATCACAAAGTGCCTCACGGCCTGAGCCACTACGGCCGACTCCAGCAGCCACGAGGAGAACGCAGCAGCCCAACCAACCAAGAGCTGCTCCTGCCACAACAGCGGGAGCCACAGCAGGCCCATCAGCATCACTGCCTGGCTCGAGTACGGCACCCGGTGAAGGCGCTCAGCGAAGCACGCAGTCCTCTTTCCCACACGCGTTCGAGAGATGGGAAACACTGTCGTCACATTGGGAGGGTCTCACCTCGTACTGGCTGCATAAGCTGGAGCAGAACACAGAGGAGATCAAGGACAAGGTGCCCACAGCGTCAACACTCGCTCGACAAATCACAGATCTGTCGGCTGCTGGTGCGAACCTCTTCCACGCCGTGGTCGAGCTGCAGCGGCTGCGGGCCAGTAGTGAACGCAAATTCCAGCGCTGGTTCTTCGAGACTCGCGCCGACAATGAGCGGAATCGTGAGCTCCAAGCCGGCATGGAGAGGCAACTGAACATCGAGCGCAAGGCAAGAGAGGACACTGTCCTTCAACAAGCAGAAGCCGCACAAGCGGTGGAGAACGCCAAACGCGAAGTTGCCGAAATGAGACGAGAGCTCATGATCAGCAAAGATGAAGCACGTCGTGCATGGGAAGAGCTGGGCAGACGGAACCAAGAATCGCTCGACACCGCACAGAGCCTTAAGGAGGGCCGCATCACGGTGGTCAGCGGAGTGCAGGTCGTGCCATATTTTGGTCAACCGAGCAGGACGGGTAGCGCAAGCCAAGGAGGACAGCGACCCGTCACCCGGGATGGTCCTCAGCCAGGATACTCAAGCGCCGGCTTTTCCGCAGGTGCTGCTGGGCTGGCAACTCCAGGTGACGACGAGCGACAGTACTATCGCGAAGAAGGTCCGTCGCCGACGAATACCGACCCCTTCACAGAAAGTGGTCGACAACAGCCTTTGCACCACGAGCCAGGGAAGCCATCACTTGCGCAGGGAACATACTATCCTCCCAGTGGTTCATCTACCTCGCAGCCAGCATCGACCTCGGCAGCGAGACCTGGCGCAGCTCAAACATCAACAATGAGTCCGGAACGCTTCTATCAGCAAGGTGGCCCATCGACTTCGTTGCATGCTTCACAAGCAGATCCGTCCCGACCTGCAGCGACAAATATGCCGCCACCAGCCCGAGCAGATACCAGGTCGCAACCTCGCTCGGAAGCCGAGTCATACGTCTCCACAGAATACGAGCTCGATCACACTGGTTCTTTCCGGCTGGACAGCCAGGGAAATAGAATCCCATATGTGGCTCGGCCTCAGCAGGGACCGAGCGACGTACGCAGTGAGAACAGTGAGGACGACTATGACACTGAACAAGCTGTGCGTCGAGAGCGAGAGCTGGCAGCTCAGTACGGCGGAGGCATGATTCCAGAGGCACCCTCAATACCATCAACGAGTGCTGCAGCAATGGCTGCCGGCTATGTCCCGACTACAGGTCCCTCGGAGCCTGATTACGAAGGCGCCGGGTACGAAGACTACCAACAGCAAGTGCCTTACCAGATGCAAGGTCGCCATCACCATCCGACGAGACTAAGCGATGTGCTCGAGGAAGAAGAGGAGCGAAGTAGCCGCCGTACTGGAGATTAGTCGTCTTCAGCACCATTTCCGACCGCTTCGACCCTCGAAAGCGAGAGTCATGCGCAGAAGATGATCTGGCAGGAGGCTGCGCACACGAGTCATTCCTATGATCAGCAGCAGGTCAGCAACGATCAGCCGAACGAGTTCCAGCAAAGATGCATGACATGGCAAGACGCCATCTCACTTGCGCCGACTCCGTCGCGACGACGAGCACCAGCGTCAGCCGCAGGAGCTCATCCGAAGAAGAAGCGGATCATCGTCAATGACCCGAGAGAGCTTTTGATGAGCTGGCAAGACGCAGTGAGAAACGGTCCAAAGATCGAGAGGACGGCTACGGCGCCCAACATCACCCTGACCAGTGCCACTGCTACATCTCCTCGCTCGCCAGGTCCTGCTGACAACGCCACCTCTGCACGTTCGAGCAGTGATAGCGCTAGTTGCTCTTTTCTGCGGCCTTCTACTGCTCTCAGGATGATGCACGGGCGGAGCAGGACGATGGGATGATGAGCAATTGTCTCTTCACACCGAACCGATGGACCGGTCCAAGATTGGGCCACACCAGACACACCATTCTTCTTGAGTTTTTCCCTTTCTGTATGTCTGGTGGCTTTAGCGCATGTTTTGATTGAGAGAGGGCTTCTCTGGATTATTTGCTCTGCATAGCGCTTTGTTCGGCTCTTTGTGCATATCAGCGTGTGCTTTACTTTTCCTTTCTCTGAGCGAGGCGGAAGTACGCGAGAGATACCTCTGATGCGAGTGAGTTGTTGTAAGAATGGGTGTACGCATAGCATAGCGTGGCAATAAGGGAAGCGAAATGGATGGATGCAGTATAAATGGGCACCCTAGGGGCTTTAATGTTTGTGAGTGGTAGGATGGTAACTATGTATATGGACTGTAATGAGAATTGAGTGAGAAGTTTGACTCTGTCCCTGCTTCTGTCAGAAATATTTTGTGGTTCAGGTGGGGAGGGCGGAGCGTGGTGGCTTTGGGTGGAGCGGCTGGACAGAGAGTGGGCATGCAAGAGTGGTTCCTCTGGTGACTCGAGGACAGGATTGTGCAGGAGAGGGGACGATATGGTGGCGGCCATATGGGCTCACTGGCAGAGAGCGTCATGTTAAGGAGGTTCGCTCCATAATCTTGTGTTGATGCCAATGAGGTGCTTGGGGAGATGTGGCAAATGAAGTTATCGAAGAGAGCACGATGATTGTGATGCTCGCTCTGTTGGAAATGCGTTCGACCTTTGTTGTCTTTAGGGAGACATGTTGGTCCTACCAGGGCACAGGAAACGGAGAAATAGATCAGGAAAAGGAGAGTATCGTGGAATTCTGAAGTTCAAAGTGTCATGGGGTATCGTTACACATATCTATCAACTGTATCTCCCAAACCCGCAACACTTCGCAGTCGAGCATCTCTTCCCTCATGCGCTTGGACAGGCTACTCACCTTGGAGTCATCATCCCAGTCAATTCCCCTTACGCATTTCCTCCTCCAACCACTCCGCCGCCTCGATTCTCAAGAGGAGAATCTCCCACTCCTTCTGCCTCTGTCCGTCCCATTCGGCATCACTCAGCCCATCCAGTACCTCATATTCTTTATCGAGAACTTGCATCTTGGCTCGGAGTATGGCCTTCGGGCTGAGTTGCATGGTGCTTTGGAAGAGGTGGATGTATGGCACCGGGAGCAGAAGCAAGTTTGCTGTTTGGTGATTCATTGTCACTGGTGAGGGTCTTGTGTGGGTTTGGTATTCTCTGAAAGTTGTGCTTGGAGTCTTAGCTGTGGTTTTGAAGGTTTGGTAGCACGGATCTTGTGTGAGATTTGGAGAGAATGGGCGGAAGGGGAGGGATAGGGGAGAGGTAGTATTTAATCTCATGGGCAATGAGGCCGCTGATTCTGGCATTTTTAAGGACATTGAGGTACCAGTGGTAGTGATGAGTATAAAGTTAAGTTTGGGTCTGGGTAGAGTGAAGCTCGTGGGGACGCTGGTGAATTTTGAAGTAAAGGAAAGTAACTAGCGAATGGAAAGTGATGGATTGCAATACTTGCTTTCATGTTCTGTATCAAACAGTTTAGTCTTTGAGACATAGAAAAATTTGCGATACTTAGTCTTTGGCTCAGAAGCATGGCTTCAAATAATAGCTCACTTATCGCATGTGGTACGAGTCGTCTGGACAGTCGAAGTTGATCTCAGGGTAGGCGTTCTTCAGGCCAATGTTGATCTGCTGGATATTCTCGTGATCCATGTTGCTCTTGATCTGAAGGATAGTGTTCTTGTTGTCCTTGGCACCTTTGCATTTGAAGCCGTCGACGTGGAAGAACTTGGTGACTTTGTCCTCTACGAGGCCGCATCTTGAGCCGCCGAGATAAGGCCGGCCTATTGTCACCTGGAAGATGGATTGGTTGACATCCCAAAAGCTGTTTTTGAATCCTTTGCAGCTTGAAGTATCGTATGCGAGGGCGCTCCCTCGCTTGACCAGCTCGTCTGGAGTTTCAGTGGTAGTGTTTGGGATAGTTGGCGCGGCCAGCGCACCAGTGGCGGCGAGGAGAACTGTGAACTCGAAGCGCATCTTGATGAAGTCTGTTTGTTTTTGGGTAAACTGCTTTGAAGTCGTGAAATGGGGTTGATGTGTGGGACGGCTACCGGGCAGACTGTAAGGTTAATGTATTCGAGTTAAAACAAAGGCGCGATACAATGCCTTGTAGTGACAAAGCGGCCATTCGCGAGCATCCCGTCACCAACAAAGGCGAAGAGACAGTGAAGACGTAGGAGTGATGAAGTCTTTGTTTGGGTCGGCTGGCCGCCAGCCCCAGATTGACAATATCTTTGTGAAGCCTGAGGTGAAGTGAAGCCTGAGGTGGTGCCTGAATTGGAGCCTGAAGAGCCTGGTTTGAAGCCTGACATCTGGATGTGTCGAAATCAGTGTTGTGATCGCGTGGACAGCGACCAGGCTGTACGGTCCGCAAGTCGAGGCTGAGTATCGCCTGAATTCGCCACCGCATCCCGCCGACGGTCTTGACTGGGGAGGCACCGGACAGCGACGTCGTGCACTCGAGCGCGACTCATGATCATCGTCGGTGGAGTGGCGATATCTGGAACGGAGCAGGTGAATGGCGCGTGCCTCGGTGAAGGAAGGATGGGCGGCGGTGGTGGCCGGCGATGGAAGGCGTGGGTTGGGTGAGTGTCGAGTGACGCAGGGCAGCGCCAAGCCGCCGTGCACCGGTCCCGCCTTCTTCTCCCCTCCTTCATTCGCTTTGCTTCCAAGAACCTGCACCTGAACCACAACACCCGCAACCACACCACTCTCCACTCCACCGCCGCCGCAACTCACCGCACCGCTACTTCGAGCACCACACGCGCCAACACACTACCCACCCCGCGACACCGACGACACAGCTGCGTATGTCCGGCCAGATCGAGAACCTCAAGTCTTTTGGTGAGTCGCCGCCCACACGCCCACTCAGCCTCGCGATAAGCACGTCGCACATGACACCACACTGCCGCGCGGCTTGCTGGCTCACCGCCCACACCGCTGCAACGTGGTGACGACCGCGGCGGCGGAGGTGGAATGCCGCTTGTCGCCTCGAGTCATGTTGCCTCGCTGCCCACAATACCACGTATCACCTTCCAGGAATACAAGCTAACCACACATGCACTTTAGACCCCTTCGCCGAGGCAGATGCCGACGGCGACGGTGAGACCAAGCAGTCGCAGAACTATATTCATATCCGTATCCAGCGTATGTATCGCCCCGCACCCTTTTGTCGACTCGACCTCCGGCTGACTCTCGCGTAGAGCGCAATGGTCGTAAGACCTTGACTACCGTGCAAGGACTCCCGAAGAAGTTCGATCAGAAGAAGATCCTCAAGGTCATCAAGAAGAAGTTTGCCTGCAATGGCACCATCGTCAACGACACCGAGATGGGAGAGGTGATCCAGCTCCAGGGCGATCAGCGGAAGGATGTGCAGGAATTCTTGGTCGACAAGAAAGAGGGACTCGAGCTAGATGCCAAGACCATCAAGGTCCACGGTTTCTAGGCTCATAACCCACGACATGTGAACCGTCTGCGGCGCGTCGAGGATATCGCGAAGTTGGAGCAATGCCTACCCGGCAGCGACTACACATCGCATCCTACGTGCACTAGGCAGGTCGGCTGCGGCAGGTACAACTCGCTGCCCCCGGCTGGTCCGGTGCACGGCGACACGACTTCACGATCACGAACTCGCTTCTCTGCGAGAAGCTACGAGGACATGCGCAGACGGGAGAATGGGTCCCTTCTGAACGACACGCAAGGCGAATTGCTATTGGGCACGCTAATGCTTGTTTTCCTTTTCTACAACCACCACAATTCCGGCTATGGCTACTTTGACGCTGCGAGCAACGAGGGATAGGCTGGCTGAATTTGGTATTGGTAGTAGCGTTACGTACCACGAAATGGAATACATGAGCATACTACGAAATATACAATTCGTGCCTGACAACTATGTTCTGAAAGAGTAGCTGACGATTTAGTGCGGCGTTTCCTTTGTCAAGAGAGCCACTGCCAGGCCGTCTTTTGGGCTCGGTATGATTTTCGCCGGAATTTTCACATGTGATCACATCCCAGCGGATCTCGCAGATGCTGACGCTCCACGGATCTCCTCATATCGGCCGGCCTTTCTGATTCTCTTCCGACGCAGATTGCACTTTCCAATAAACTCAACAAAGTCGGCATTGTCGCGCAGCCGTTTGCCTTCAAAAGTTTGCACTTTCGGAAGGAGGTTGTTCGCGGACTCAGATCCGTGGTGTCAGCTTGTGGAAGTTTGTTGAAATGATCTTGAGGATAGGGGTACGGTATGGGCGGACTCTCGGCGATCCGGACGGGTAATGATATGGAGGGCTGTGAAGGAGGGAGAGTTAGGCAGGTGTTTCGTGATGGGATGTGATGCTCATTCGGATTGCCTCCAGGTGCTGCACTTTTGTCGCCTCAGGTTCGCTGTGGGAGACGGAAAGGGAACGAGAGCACGTGTGGACCATGAACAAAGAAAATGCAAGAGTAAACATGCAAAGAAATTCGTGCCATCGCTATGTATGCTATATGATGCATCATTTTAGTATTGTCTAGTACACATATCTGAAACTCTTCCGTTCTTTGTCTGTCAGATTTTGCCATTGGTCCTCACTATCATCTGGCGCCATGACTGGTGCTTCCGGATCCATTGATGTCCCAGTGTGCGGTTTCCCATACTTGCGATCCCGATGTCGATTCATAAGGTAATAGTAACTCGCCAGTAACGATAACATGAGAATTGGCAAGCCTTTCGCTCCAACAAGAATATCTTTGCCAGTTTGATAGTATGGTGCTTCTTTTGGCTGCACAGCATATGGCGCGACAATATTTCCGATAGAAATTGTACCAGACATAATAGCTGTTGCGGCAGAACGTTTCGTGTGGCCGGCGATATTGGCTGACATCCATTGGAGTTTGATGCCGGAGGTGAAAAGGCTGCAAGATACGAGGTAGATTCCGGCGAGTTGGGCGCCTTTGTTTTGGTGGGGGGAGAAGGCTACGAGACAGGCGCCTGTGAAGGAGAAGCAGTAGCCTAAGACGGAAATGAGCCAGCGGGGCATGATGTGGTAGCGGATTACGATGGCGGAGATCAGACATGTGACGACGCAGATTGCTCCGCCGGGGGTGGTGAGGAGGGCTGCTTGTTTGGAGTCGTAGCCGAAGGACTTTATTATGGTTGAGGCGTAGGTGCCGAGGATTCCTGAGCCGAGTGAGATGAAGATGTTCATCATGACGAGGAGGTAGATCTGAGGGTCGAGGGCTAGTTCTCGGAGTTGGTGCCATTCGATTTTGTGGCCTGTGATGCCAGTCTGGTTGACGGAGACGTGGTGGATGAGAGCGGTCTTTTCGGCGTCGTTGAGGAATTTGGCGCGGATTGGGCTGTCGGGCATGAGGAAGAGGCAGATAACTCCCACAGAAAAACTGATGACACCCATTACGAGATACATTATGCCTGTAGTCCGTTAGTTCGCTTCTACGCTTCATGTCTCCACAGTAGAACTCACGCCATGATTCAATCGAAGAGGTTGTGACGTGCTGGAATCCGTAGGAGATCAAACCACCAGTAATGACCGCAAATCCAATGCTAGAGAACCAGATCGCGAATCTCGCTGCTTGTTCGTCTTTTCGGTAGTAGTGGCAGCTGATGAGCATCAGCGCGGGGACGAGCGCAGCATCACACGCGCCCATCAGTAAACGAATTGCGAGTAGTTGTGGATATGTCTTGACTGCCGCGACGCATGCGATAGTGACGCCCCATATGCTCATAGCAACTCCCAGCCATTTGCCCAGCGGCAGTTTGTTCATCGCCAATGCGACGAGTGGGGAGACTGCAAGATACGTCCACCACAGCGAAGATGCGATATTGTTGAGATCGTTTCCTTTGAGTTTCAGGTCCTTGGGTAGTCCCATAACAATGGAGTAGTTCAGCAAGTATTTATCGAGGAATTGCAGTCCAAAGATGAGGAACATGATGGGCATGATGCGCCAGTCCACTTTGCGCTGCAGCTTCTTAATGTCGATCGCTTGCTCGCCCACAAAGTCCGCCCTGCTGTGAAGATAGTCATAGGCCTCGTCGATGTCCTTGCTTCGCTTCTCATTGTTTATCGTGGCGACGTAGGCCACCGGGTTCGAGATTGTGGTATTAGCACGCTCCAAGCGGAGCTTCTTCTCTTCTTTGGAAGCCATCTCTTTCTCGAAGTTGAAGAGGGATAGCTGAAGGGGGAATCCCATGGGGTTCGGTGGTAAGGGCACAGCGAACATTGATATAGTCGTCATCCAGCAGAATGTTTAAACATGCAGCACGCCGGGAATGCGAGACAGCTCAACTAAAATCAGCGATTTGAGCCAACGTGGTGCAAGGCTGTTGCTTCTGAGTATTTCGAGGAAATTTTGTTAACGTCTGCCAGCTTCCATGCTTCGAGGCTGGGTCCAAGCAGCCATATTGGTATGGCTTCCATGCTGTTTGAAGACTTGTACATACAGCATCGTGGCCGAGATCCGGGGATCCGTTGAGTGTGACGGCAGGCCGTGCCAATAAGGAGGCTGTTGGTCATCAATGCATGATCTCTTTCCGGTACAAGCTCAGCATTACCCCAGGGTTCACCGAAACCTACCAGACTGGTGCACCTGGAGCTTGACAGACATGGGTATCCTTTGATCGACAGATGCTTTTGTCTTCAGCCAACTCACTGCAAGGAATGATTGCCATTCAGCGTCTCATAGCGGGCCTCGCTGGTACACGTGGTGGCCAGATGTGGTGCCATCAGCGACAGTTTCAGCTGATGTCTGCGATGGTGCTCTTTGTGCAGATCCAGTCGCAGGAAATCAGCATTACAAGGCAGCAGGCTCCCATGTTGCGTGATGTAGGAGGGCGGTCCTCGGCAGTCAGGAGGCGTCAGCGGATGATCTGCAGAGTCTGGGGTTAATCGCCAGCTGTGTGGTGAGATGAAGTCGAAGTTGAACTGCTCCTGCGGATAGTCCGTCGGCTCCCACTGCCGTGGCTGGCCCTTTCCCTTATTCCCAGAATAGAGTAGCAGACTTTGGCTTCACCACGACATCCCGACTCGGCGCAACAGCGCACTGATCCAGCTTGCATCTTTGACAGCAGCCACCACTTTGACACGCTCCAGCCAAACCACAGATTGCAGCGTGTCTCCTGTCGACTGGACTGCAGCAGGATGTCCAGCCTTCCAACGTCTCCAGGCCGGGATGATGACACGCTCCGGGACATTTGATGCTGGTCTGTGAGCAAAACATCTCGTCCCCTTCTCTGCACTTCCCTGCTTGTGCGTTGGCTCAGTCTTTGCAGCTGCTTCTACTCCAAACAGCTTCACCAATCTCACCCGATGCGGTGCATTCTACCTGGAATGCTGCCGGCGGGCATCGAGTCGCAGCGTTCGCCGTTTGGCTGCGTAGGATGGGGGAAGAAACGGCTATCGTATACAGGCATGCCGGTCGTGACACGTCCCAAGTGGCAGGAAACATAAATCTTCTCCCGACAAGGAACGGCCCTCGAGAGTGCGCCTGAGCTTTCTCGACACTCGTGCCAAGCCGGAGCACCGCCTACGCGTGCATACCGTCGACGCCAGTCGCGACCTTGCAAAGTTGACCTGCTTCCATTCGGACCAAGAATGACAAGTCATAGAATGCGGTTGACGAAGACATGCAGCACAAAGGCCAGGTTGAGGCGGTGTTGAAGAGCAGAGCATTGCCTCTTTGGGAGTGGATGTTTCGGCTCATCTTGCTTGAAAAACTCTGCCCGCAACGGCCACACGAACGACAATTCCAGACCCTTCGCCTTGCGATATTCTGCATCTTCAAAACTGGTTTAGCTGGTTACCGCATGTCTCACAAAATGTCCGCCAGTCGCCGGCCACACAAGTCTTCACGGATCAATAAGCGCACGGCACCAGCCGTCTGAGAGTGGCAGCAGGTATTTCCTGGATCATTAATCATTATCCCTTGGCTGAAGATCAAGGACTATGCTGTATGCGATATGATGCTATCTACTGTGCTTGCATCGGGCCCGACTTCGTTCACGCCTTGAGACTTGCGCGGCGTTCAGTCTCTGCTTCCGGATCCGCGAACTCGTACAGCGGCTCGAAAGGCGCGACATCGCGGCGCATAATGTTCTTGTTGAAGTACCATGGCAACTTCTCCGCATAGTACTTGGAGTGTTGCCGATTACCGACGTTGAAAACATTATCCAGCTCTTCCAGCGTGAGATTCTTGGTCTCGGGAAGGAAGAAGTATGAGAAGACCCAGCCAAACATGTTCCATCCGGCGTACCAACAGAATGCTCCCGTGGGCGTGAAAGCCGCACGCAAAGCTGGCCAGGTCAAGGAGATGATGAAGTTGAAGCCCTGGTGTAGAAAGTCAGCACCTTATTCTCACTTCTGAAGCTAATGTGACTTACCCAGGTGGTAGCTGTGGCAAACGACATTCCGATATCACGGATGTACAGAGGGAAGGCTTCCGCGCTGTACGTGAACGGCACAGGTCCCATTCCGGGTGAGTAGAAGACCATGAAAAGGTAGATGGACGCTGCGATGCTACCCAATTTGCCGGGACCGGTGATGAAGCCATCCTCGGCTGCTGGAGCAGTGCTGGGCGTGTCCGGGATGAGGAAAGAGAAACCACACCAGAAGAGGCAGATGGCCATCAGTGGGAATGTGGTCAGTAAAAGGTTTCGACGACCGAAAGTGTCAATCTTCGAGATGGTCAGCGATAATGTGACATTCGTGGAAGAGGTTTCGCTTACAGTGTAGACCGCAGGAATGGCGAACAGCCAGTTGACGATACCAGTTCCGAGGGACACGAGCAGCGCATTTGGCTCAGAAAACCCTCCATCGACGAAGATCTGGGTAGAGTAGTATGCGATGACCTGGGAATGTCAGTGAGTGATTGCATGTCACGATCTCAGGCATCTCCTGCTTACATTGACACCACAAAATTGTTGCATGAACACTATTTGAAGTCAGTAATTGGCGGTGGTGATGCTGATATCGATGCACTTACTGACGAAGAACGAGCTCTGTGCGGCACGTCGGTTGCGTCGGACGAAGAAGAACTCCTTCCACAAGCTCTTGCCCTCTCGCTCTCCAGCTTCAACTTCGAGCAGCTTGTACGCATAGTACATGTCTCGCGCGGCCTGAATATCGTGCGATCGCAAGCGCTGCAAAGCGGTGAAAGCCTTGTCGAACTTGCCCTTCTCCATGTACCAACGCGGCGACTCTGGGCACAGGTAAACCTGGAACATGACAATGAGTGGAGGAATGGACGTGGAAGCCAACATCCATCGCCATTGGGTATCTTCTCCCAAGATGTCGACGTTCTGGAATGCGACAGATGCAACGAATCCCAACATGATGCCGAATGCAGTCCACATTTGCCACATCATGGTGAGCGCACCACGAATGTTCTTTGGAGCCGACTCAGCGGCGTAGACTGGTGTCGTACTGGATTTGGCGCCCACGGCGAAACCGAGAGCGAATCGGGCGATAAGCAGATTCCACCAAGTGTCCGCGGCAGCCATCCATAGTCCAGCAACGAAGGAGATGAAGCAGGAAATGAAGATGGTACCACGTCGTCCGAAGAACTTGTTGAGAGGTGCATTGGTCCAGCATCCGATCAGAGCGGAGCAGAGGTATGGCGCTCCGTTTAGCAGTCCACGCCTCCAGACTTCCTCTTCTCCGATGTTGAAAGTTCGGAAGTAGAACTGTTGCGCTCCATTCACGGCAGTCTGGTCCATTCCTTGCACGATGGCAGAGCCGGCGCAGAGCACGACGAGGAAATACAACATGAATGGCTGGCGCCATTTGTGATCATTCTCCTCTTGCAGCCAGCTCTTTTCTTCGTCTGACAGAGCAGAGATCCGCTGAAAGCCAGTTTCCGGGGAGCGCTGGGACACACGTGCCAACAGTCCGCCTTTGCGGAATGCCTCTCGATGATTCTGCAGTCCACGAGCCTCGACGAACGCATCTACATCCTGGATGACTTCTTCCTCGGTCATGCCCGAGAGAGGATTGCGAAGCTTCGCAGCCACGCTCGCCTGTCGTGGTGGACCATCGTTGATCTCCTCATTGTATTCCTTGCCTCCACTGGAAGAAGAGGCCTTCGAAGGAGCCCGTCTCTTCTCGATGTCGAGCTGCTCTCCGCCTGGAGCGTTGTAATTGGGAGCCGCCATGATTTGTCCACGAAAACGGTGTCAAAGTGGAGCACACAGCCCAGAGATAGAGAAGGCAAAACAAAAACAGAACAGGGAAGAGCACGCAGCAGTATACTTAACACGACAGTGGAGCGGTCTCTACTACGACCCTACCACCCCATGGGCACGCCGAATCCTACTCAACGTAGATGGCGCATTCCCTCGCGTGCCCACCGTACGCACAGGCTTGCAAGCACGAGTTCGCCGCTGTTCGCGTGCCCAGAGGGCGTTGGCAGACGTATGCCAGGTCTTGTAGAAGACATGTCCAAGAAGTCTTGGTAGTGTTGTTGCGCGGAGGAGGCGTCTTGATATTGGCTCGATGACGCAAAAAGAACGAACTTTGGGCTTGGCGGACGAAGCGTCCCCGAAGTTGTGAACTGCTGGAGCCATAGAGGCGCATTCTTCTTGTGGAGAACCAACTGCGCCAATGTTCTTGAGATGTTTCACCACCACGTGCGGGCGCATGTTCGGAGGCATTTTCAGATCGTTGATGAGGCGACTGTGATGTTGTTTTTGGAGGAATGGGAAGCGCCAAGAGAGGACTTTGATGCGGCTGATGTGGCGTCGCGGCGATGTCTTGTGTGTGGAGGCTTTTTCGGCTCTTGGGCCGAATTGGCGGCCTCTTCACTGCAACATTCGTTTGGGTTGAGAAAGTGGTCAGGCAATAATGATGAGGATCCTGACAAGACGGACGGTCTCTTGGCTGAGGGGGATGGTTCGTTGCATCAACCCACATGGGCACGAAACGTTGCATTTGGACCCGCAATTTTTATGCTGGAGGCCCGTGGGAAAGATGCACTATGGAGGGACTGTGGTCCACATGGTGCTGCTGTGCAGCATGTGAAAGGCTTTTCTGTGAGATGGCTTGGCCAGAACAGTGGGCGTATTGTGACTAACACATCAAAGCAGGAGCAGAGCTGACGCCCACAAAGCAGACACGCGGAAGCTGCAGTAGCCTATTTTTTATGCTCAGCACATCCGAAACGGCAAGGTCCTAGTATACTGTCATCTCAGCTCATTGCTATGAAGCACCGACATGTGATCGACTATCTCATCCAGATCCTGCGGTATCTGCTCCGCGAACACTGAGCTTGCGAAACTGGCCAAATGACACTTCCTGACCGCGATCTGAAAACGCCGCGGTAGCTTGTCTGACACTTGGCCACACCACGTCGTCAAATGCGCTTGAAGATCTTGCAATGATGGCTGTCTACCAGTCTGATATGCTTGAGAATCTCGATCGAGGTATACCTCCAGCAAGACAATACCGAGCATGAGAAGTATGATCGGAGAATTTGCTGTTGACATTGTGCTGTTAGGGAACGATTAGCACTGCTTTGCGGCCGAAGGCTGTTCTTGCTTACGTTACTGGCACTGGCTGGCCAAATAGTTCTTTCTTCAGGTACACAGGGGATGTACCAAGTGCCTGGCCGGGTCTGGTAAGGACCCCAAAATCATCCTTGCCGCAAGAAGTGTCAAGAAAAGGGGTACCGAACAGGATCCTAACGTAGCTGGCTATGTTCACAGCCAGCTGGAGTCGTCTTTCCAGCACGAAGCCCTTGCCAATCATGGTGGCCACGCTTTCAAGGTTAGCCTTGCTATCGGAAAGAGTATAACGCTTTCCCAACCAGGTCTCATATGGCCCGCTAAGGCAGCTTTGAGCAGTCAGGTCCAAATGCATCTCAAGGCAAGGCACAAGCTTGCTAGTGCTTGACATCAGTGGCTGCAAGTCGCGCACGGGAGGAGGCAGCACTCCGATTTTGTCGAGCTTTTGCTTCCCTTCTGCGTCAGAAATATGGAAAACGGTTCGCTGCCAACTGGAACTGTTGCGCAAGGCAATGTGGTATCTGTTTACTCTCGGTCAGTGGAATATTTCATCTTGCCTTGGACCATCGATACTCGCCTCTTCTTCTTCAGTTCATCGCAAGGGGCATTCCAGGACGAGGATAAACCTAATGCCATGGCGAGTGGTGAACTTTTCCGAACAGACCGGGTTGTTCGATCCAAGCAATGATACAATGCTTCCAGATGGCTCCTACTACGGGATGACTGGGCTGAATTACTCATCATTTTAGCCTGCCTCTTGCGCACCTGCATCTCTGCATTATGCACCAGGCGGTACCGTAGTTCGCTGATACGTTGACCCAGACCTCCTAGCGACTTTTCGCTTTGCTCTCGCCGAAGAACGAATCGAATGCCAGCGAGGAATCTTTGCATTCCTTGGCGTGGAGCTGGCGCATTCTTCAGAGCTTCCAACAAATCGTTGCTCGACTGCTGTTGGGAGTTAGCAATACCCGCAAAGAGCATGAAACCTATACTATCAAGATTCTCAGCCGATGCGAGACCTAACCGAACCACCAGGTGTTTCAATTCCTCGTAGTAGTCCTGCAGCAATGCCTGGAAATCCGGCCAGAGATCTCCGTGCTTCTCATTTAGCTCGTGTAGCATGTCGACATACTTCTCGTCGTGCCAATCTTGTTTCAAGAACTGATACAGCATCTCCGGATCCTCGGGCAGTTCTGTGGTACCGAGCAGTAAAGCTTCCAGGAGTGATTCGAGGTCTTTCTTGCGAGAGACCAGCAGGCGTCGATGCTGCTCAGTTCTCATGTTCCATTGGCGAAACGCCGCAACATGCTCACCTGCTTTGATACAGCCCTCCAGAATATCGATGCAGATTGGAATAGCACTGAGCACGACACCTGCTACCTCCATCTTGCCGCTTTCCTTGGAGATACTCAATGTCCGGCCAGCGTGGTTTGAAGTCACTCAGCTCAGCCTTGCCAAGTGTGGCACAAAGACCCCTCTTCTGTCGAGCGCACTTCGAAGGCAACGCCAACGCACCATGCGTCTGATGGTATAAATTGTCCTTTATGTCCTTTGATCGAGTGTATGGAAAGTTCGTTTGTGCTAATATTTGTCGAACGATATCACATGATGTGGAACCTTTACCTCGACATTCGACGTCTTATTGTGCACGACTCCGACGTTCTGTGCAAGCTGCAAGCTGAAGCACACTCGTCACATGGTTGGAGGGGCTGCTAGAGCAATGCAAGCCACTTGGACCGCTATCACGTTGGCCGATTGGAGCTCCTGCCTTTTGACACATGTGCCTGACACACTCTACGGCCTGAAGTCAGCCTCGCTGAATACGCAGCCTGCACTGTACGGCTGACTGCATAAGACGCTCATCATCATTCTTCGCTCCCTAGGCAAGCATGAGCATATCACGAAACATCTGAATCTCCTCACAAGCCATGTCAATCGAACCCTGGAATACTGATGGATGATTTAAAAGCCCGTTGCGAAAGCTGTCGGCTTTCGCTCACACAGGTCATCGTTCGAGTTCGAAATGCTTCGCCTGGTTCTCCGCTGGCGCGCACTACGGAGAACTCATGGACCAGTCAAAGAACCAGGCTTAAACTGTGGGTCGCGGATTTACTTTCGCTGAGCGCCGAGCTGGAACGCGAGCAACAGTCTTGTGTACAGGCATTCGATGCAGCTGGTATCTCAGGTATCATTGGGGACCTGGAACAAGACTTAGCAGCAGGCGAGTATATACGACCAGTCCTATGATGTTAGTACGCTGACCTGCGCAGTCCTCGAAATCGCAAACGGCGAACGATTACCATATGAAGAACAACAGCCAGTTGAACCTGAAGAAGCTGATCAATTGTCTGATGAAGATGATGAAGAATTTTATGAGATACCAGAACGTCTTCAAGCTATCGAAGATGTGATCGACCGTCTCTTCAGAGCATCGAATGCGCAGTTTGACCGGATCCTACTGCTTCAAAGCGCGAACACCCGTCCCCAGCCGGAGCGCCCTGAACAACATATAAGAGACAAAGGCAAAGGTAAAGCTGCGCAGAAGCCACAAAAGAGGCTCACGGATGCCTCCAATTTGCCAGCTCAGACATCTCTTGCGATACGGCCGCCGCCTTTGGAGACACATTTTGGACGAGCCAGTTCTGCGTCGGCAGACAGTCGCCCCGAACATGTAGTACCGACACCGATGCCAATTGCTGTTGCTGCAGATATTGATAAGCCGCCGAGATTAGCACGCGTAATGGAATGGCGCCCCCGGGACATTTTCACCGAAGAAACGCGAGGGCTAGATCAACAAGAAGCTACCCCAAGCTCATCAGCAACGAATCCGCCGCAACAAGGAAGGCATTTCTCGTTTGCAGGACTGCCTACAGAAGGTGGTGGTGGTGGACCGGAGATGATGGTTGCAACAAGAGAAGGCACCCGACCTCAATATGGTCAAACTGGCACGTCCCAGCCTGCAGCTCGGCACAGCGATTTCGATTATCAAATTTCTCGACCTGCGGACGGCGACCTTCGTGTCCAAGGTCGCCTTTTCGAGCATTCATCTCGACCTTCGTTTGGCCCGTATGACACTTCTCCGTTCTGGACTGCATCTAGGAATCGACCAAGGAGAGCCTACCAGGAGGAAGAGCAACGTCCTGCGTCCTCATATCGACGATCGTCTCCAGTTTACCAGCATCTCCCGGGCAGGGTCGCGACAACTGTGAGATTCCAAATCCACCAACGAGACTTCTTTCGACAGCACTGCGTTTTCGCTCTTGAGCCGAGTTGCAGCATCGTTGATCCTGCTCCCGTGGAACCTTTCGACACCATCCGGAACGATGATCCTCGACCCCGAAGCGTGTGCAGATATGTAGTGATAGAAGAAGCAAGTCCTGCAGCCGATCACTTTTTAGCGCTGCCGATTCTTACATACGGTGGACGAGGCGTTGCAGCATCGGACGTCGTGAAAGGAGTTCACGGTATCATATATACAAGCATCATTCCACCGCGGCCTGGTGTTTCCGAGTTTCCTGGCAGACATGAAGATCCAATGGTTCCAAACGCTATCCGAATAATGCCTATGGATCCCGAGGAATCTCTAGAGACCAGGTCAAGAATCAATTACGGTCGGCCGACGCGGATACCACTAACGACGAAAATTTATCATATAGGCCATGTCGACAGAGATCACAGAGACCTTCTGATCCGACAGTATCAGCATGTACAGCAAAGGAAGCAGCAAGAGGAAATGCGCCGACAGGATCCAGCGCCGCAAAGGCAGAACGAACAAGAAGGACCTCGTACAGGGG